CTCAATTTTATAGTTTTGTGAGGTTTTAATTTCTTTAGTATTGAGATTTTTTAGAAGGGTTTTTGGGAGAGAGAGAAGAAGGAGGTGGAGGAGGTGAGGGGTTTGTGAGTGAGGAGGGAAATGGTTTTTTAAGGTTTTTGATTATTTGGTATTTAAGAAAGAAAAATAGTATTTGTAATATTTTTTTGGTTTTAATTTTCATTAAGGGTATTAAAGTAATTTACAATTAATTATTTAATTTTTATTTTTTTGGTATTCAAGTAAGCAAAAGTTGGGATTTGAAATAGTGATCCCCATCATTAATATGAATCCAGAAACTTTAAACAAAAAATAAAAATAAAGAAATAGAATTTGGAAAGATTTTTAGTTTAATAAAATATTATAATATATAAATAAATAAAAAATAAAAAGATAATATGATTACATGCGGGGTAGGTACGGGACGTGTCTATGGGACTGGTATACACAAACCCGCACCCGTCCCAAACCCGTTTCAGGGAGAAAAAATAGAACATGTACCCTCCTCATTTATTTGTGGGGCGGGCATTACCCGTAAATTTTGGGGCAAGACGGAACGGGTATCTGCTGATCGGATAAAAATTGCTATCCCAATCACCATATGTAGCATAGAAATAACGGTGTTGAGAAATGATGGATGCAAATTGCAAACAAAAGTTTAATTTTCTTTATAGCTAATTATTGTCAATAGGGACTTTTACGTAATTTAACAAATCTTCCACTTTTTATGGCAAATTTTCTTTAATGAAAAAACTCCATTATTAGCACAGTGCTCCTCGCAAAGCAAAATTCAGAAGCATTGTTGTATATATATATATATATATATATATATATATATTTTCTCCCTCCAAGGCAAACTTTTCTTCCATTTCAGTTAAACCTAAAAAATCAACTGTGAAAAAAGCAGTCAACCAAATCGATGGTCCGTCAAGCCAGGAGACTGATCGGCAACCTCTCATGGCGGCTGTTGTGCCCTAAGCAGCAGCAGCTCCACCAACACCGCAATTTCGGATCTCTGCCGCCTCCGCCTGCTGTCTTCGTTGATAAGAATACCCGCGTCATTTGCCAAGGCATCACCGGAAAGAATGGCACTTTCCACACCGAACTTTCCACACCGAACAGGCCATCGAGTACGGAACCAAGATGGTACTCTCTCTCTCTCTCTCTCTCTCTCTCTCCATTTACATTTCATTTTGCTCATTGTGCTATGCGGATTTTGGCAAGGGAAGATGCTAAATCAATGCTTTGTAATTGTAATTACGAGAGTCATTCGTTAATTTGTAAATGGTAATCCGTAAGTCTGTTTCGCGCATTGATTCGTTTTTTGGGAGTTTAATCTAGAGCTGTAGTAGATTGATTCAATTGATATGAATATGACTATTTCAAAACTGAGATGATTTCATCCCATCACCATGATGAAACTGCAACCGAAATTACCAAACCCCTGTGAAAAAAATTGTATGATTTTTAACCTTTAAGAATATCGTGATTAAGATAGCTCCCTCTTAAAAATGTCAGTAGAAAGCTAATGAACATGCTTCAAACAAATATAGATTGAAGGATGTCTACATTAGCTGACCAGCTCAATATACTAAGGCCTCGTTTGGTTGCCAAGATAAAATTAGCCAAGATAAGATTAAATAGTCTAATGAAACTCAATTATATTGTTGGACCTTGGAAGATCCAATAAAAAAACATGCCTAGAAGGCAAGATAAGCCATGATAACATAATATTTGCGGGTCGAACCGGCATATTATTGAGGATACCAAACATCAAACAAAGTCCAATTATTTAGTTAATCATTGGTAATCTCCCCAACCAAACGAGGCCTAAGGGAAGAAAGAGTATCCTCAGATATCATTTAGTTTTGCTATCTTATATAATTTACGCGTTCGTATATAGGTTGGAGGTGTTACCCCTGGAAAAGGTGGAACGGAGCACTTGGGACTCCCTGTCTTCAATTCTGTTGCAGAAGCAAAAGCTGAAGCAAAGGCTAACGCATCAGTGATTTATGTTCCGCCACCTTTTGCAGCTAAAGCCATTATGGAATCATTGGAGGCCGAACTAGATTTGATTGTTTGCATCACGGAGGGAATACCACAGCATGACATGGTAACACATTTATTTAGCTGCTATTTGTCTTTTCTTCAACAATGAATCAAGATCATTCTGGAACCTATGTTTCGATTGATGCAGTTTTTTCTTGTTAATTTTTATGGAATTGCAATAGTTAAATACAACTTAGGTTCAATGTCAATTCCCGAACAATCTCAATTTTCAATTATTTGACCATTACATTTTACCAAGTTCAGTGTTAGCCAGATTAGTCAAAAGTGATATCCTTCCGTGCACTTAAAAAAAATGATTTTCGTTTACATGTTAATAATCTTTTTAAGTTTTTAGTTTAGCACATGAATTATTCCTCAACTGTTTTACGAGAATTAAAAGTCACTTTCCTCTAATTAAGTTAATAGACTAACACAAAGAATCTTCCAACATGATCTTATGTCTGGATTAAGTTGGCAGATGGAACTTTACCCTTCTGTCTAACACTTAAGGTTGATTCCTGTTATTTGTAACCAGAAATTGCATTTTGCATGAAATTGTTTGAACCTTGGATGAATAGTTTTTTTTGTTTTTTAACAATTGCACACAGAAACTGTGATATGTTTACGTAAGTGCTTTTATCTACAGGTTATCTCGGTGTGTTTGGTGCTTCTTGATAATTTCAAATATACAAGCTTATCTGCGACTTGCCTAAATTTTGCGGAACTAATGACGTTAATTATTTATCAGATCATTGCGATGTTAATCTCTGTAGGGTTCTAATTGTTGCATATACAACATTAGAAGCCTGAATCAAACATGAATGATGTCCCAGAACAGCATTTTTATGCCGATCATTTTCCAAGCTTGTTTGATTATGTCATAATTGTATTAATATTACATAATATCCTAGCAACCTCCCTGCATTAGAGCTGAAAATTGGTGCTGCTCACAATATTTCCGTATTTACTTGTTGGTGTTCGTTTTCTTAAGAGTCCCATTTCCGATTGCAGGTTCGTGTGAAAGCTGCTCTTAATCAGCAGTCCAAAACCCGGCTAATCGGCCCAAATTGTCCTGGCATTATCAAGCCAGGAGAGTGTAAAATTGGAATTATGCCTGGATACATTCACAAACCAGGACGTATTGGAATTGTATCACGATCTGGTACATTGACTTATGAAGCGGTGGGTATCATTTTTCGTTGGACGAGTTTTTGAAGTTAAATCATAAAAGTTTTGAAAATTAGCAAGTCTTTGAATTAAAGTAGAATAGTAAATTTTATATTATCAAGCCAGGCTTGTGGGAGATTCAAAGCTCTGGCCTTTTGGTATGATTGTTAAAAGCGTAATATCCAACTCTTCATGCATTGTTTCTCTTACTTTTTCAAGCCCAAAATCAGAAGTTTCATTGATGTAGCAAAAGTTCTGTAACATGTAATATATAAGGAATAACTGAATCCAGTTTTAGCTCGACCTTGACAACTAATAATCAGTAAACAGTGACTAGAACTTTGGTCTTTTTGCAGCATAAATTTATTCGTTCGGCATGAGAATTATGAGGTGATGGTTTGCCCAATTATATATTGTTGAAACTGTGGATAACATTATTTTATATCATGTATTTCCTAGGTTTTCCAAACAACTGCTGTTGGCCTTGGGCAGTCTACATGTGTGGGAATTGGTGGGGATCCTTTCAATGGAACAAATTTTGTCGATTGCTTAAGGAAGTTTCTTGTGGATCCACAGACAGAAGGTACATTGTGTGACTAATTTCATTCTCATTTTCTATCTATCTCCTGAGATGACGATGTATAGATTGTAACTGAGGTGACAGTTATATGTGAAAATTAGATGTTAATTCTTATACTTCAGTTCTTATTCATATTTTAGTAAGACTACTAGGATATATTCTCTCTTTAGCTTGATGAAATTGGGCAGAAGATACATAAATTCACGTATGAATTTGAAGTTACATTAAAATCTTGCCCTCGACATATCCCCTTTCAGTTTCTTGAAACACTCAAATACCATTGGACATTATTATGTGTGTTGGGAGGCGCCAAAAAGAAGTAAGGAACTTCACAGCCGCTTGGCCTTGTCTTATATCATATCTAGATAGAAAACTTATTAGGCATTGGTTAATAATCAAACATGAAATTAAAAACTGCAAATAGCAAACAAGAATTCCCGGAACACATTCCTTTTATTGGGAGTACTTATAACAAGAGATCTATCTTGCATAAGACTTTCTCAGTCATTTTTTGTTCACCAAGACTTTCTGAACCATGTTCAGTTTCCGATGTGAACAATTTAGATATTGAATAAACCTCTTTCCGTCTCACTCTAAATGCAGAGTTTATCTAATAATGAGGTCCAGCAAGGCATTAGACCCCTGATATAAGTAATATGATATGTGTCTGTATGCTTCATTCTATGAAATATTGACAGGTATAATGTTATAGTTTTGTTTCCTGTTGTGCTTCCGCAAGTGATGCTATTTTTCCTAAAATTTAACTTTTTCTGGATATGCTTGTGCTCAATCATCCATGTTTCAGAACCTATTACAGTGACTAGTACGAAACTGCAGGTAGAAGTATATGCGCGTTGTAATGTCACACTTGAATGACTCTGCTACTTTATAGAGTTTTTACTTATAATAGATTTACGGGTGATTTAAATACACTCCATTGAGGTTTAGCGTAATAACAAAAAAATCCAACTAACTTAAAAAATTTGAACCCCCCCCCCCCCCTCTCATTGTAAGGAATTTGCAAATTGAAAGCAAATGATAATGGGGTATTTTCGTATTTGTGATTAAAAACTTAACTGTTTTTTTTGGTTGGTTTAAATAGGCCAAACCTCAATAGTAAACTGTGAAACTTATCCTAAATTTATTTTTACTGGAAGGTAGCCATAATTTGAATGCAAACGATCAGTATTTTTGTCTAATATGATTTAGAAGTTTTCTATCAGTGGGGAAATTGGTTAAAATTTCACCTAATTCATACTGCTCAACGTCTGAGATACTATTGCTTAATCTATTTGAATTTCACATTTTAGGTATCGTTCTGATTGGTGAGATAGGTGGCACAGCAGAAGAGGATGCTGCAGCCCTTATAAAGGTATATATTGTCCTCACAGTTGCACGAAAAATGAATGTACAGCGTGTCCTAACTGGATGTTTTCTTATATCTTGAGTTGCACACCTTATTCTTAGTAGTATTTGCATTTTACTGAGGTATCATTATTCTTTTGACTAAAAAATAATTTTGGTCGATTTGTGGTGTGTGAAGAAATGCTCCTAGATTAGATAAATTTTGTATTGGGCTTGCTTTTGGGTTTACATAGTGATTGATGTATATAATTCCAAGATGGGTAGAGGGCAGTAGTGTGAAAGTAAGAGGTTCAGACAAAAGTCTTTGTGTGGTTGGTTCGCATTATCATATTCGGCAAAGTGAGCTGTTCGGTTTTTCCTTGAAGCATAGGGTTAAAAAGTCGTCGTTACTTTGGAAACAATAGTATTGATGAGAAGGAGAAGGTGCTGTTGATATTTCTATTTTTTGTCTAGTGTTGGGTAGGCCATAAACATGAAATCGCTTATGGTTTATTGTTTTCTTGGCTCTCTTCACGCTTAACGCATAGAAGATGAATTGTTTTTTGTATAGCTTTGTAAGATAAATATATGTACGAGTAGATATTTATGCAACATTTGTTTTTAATTTTGTGAAAGAATTGGCCGGCTTGAAGGTCATGAGAAGACATGCAATTATCCTATGCACTATCTTGAGAAAAATACAAAGGAAACAAGAATAAGTATCAATCCGTATCAATATTATAAATAATGAATAAGATTGTTTCAGTACTCTGTACATGAAACAATATTTTTCAGAATGATGGAAAGGGAAATATAATAATGCCTCGTTCACTCAAATGACTGTTCTAAACCCTTGAAATCCCAGTGAATTCTTTCCTCCTAGATTTTGTGTGTAAGCAATGTGTGACGGGACATCCATCCTGTTCTTAGAATGTCTCTCGAGAAGTTCCACAATCTTCTTGAAGCCTTTAATTGTGACCAGAGTAAACAATGCATTACCTTCTGATGATTGTTTGTTTGGATTAAATATGTTAACTTTCCTGGCCCCTTCACTTAAATCCCTCATTTTTAAAGGTTTTGGAGTTTTGATAATGTATCGTCTGTTTCAATTTGACGTATTTGAATTACCTTTCCCTTTTTTGTTCAACTTAACAGGAAAGTGGAACTGAGAAGCCAATTGTAGCTTTTATTGCTGGACTCACCGCTCCACCTGGCCGAAGAATGGGCCACGCAGGAGGTACAGTGTTTAGTTTTCTTATCTCATTCTCATTCCTAATGAATTCAGAGAAATTATACATGTCAGATGAAATCTTGGACCTTATTTTTTTGTTCTTTGGTTGGTATATAATAACTATGCGTTCTGCTTTAGATATGCAATGAATTTTTTTTTTTAATATCAACTCCTTTCATATCATATATTTGGTCTTCCATGTCTTTGTCAAATGAAAATGCCGGGAGAATATCTGATTTTTTAGTAGAATCTCATAGTTTGCGGTGTTCTAATTTTCCCCGATTTGACTGTAATTTTCTTGTTAATCACTTACTGCAATTTGAGAATTTTTGTTTCACCGATGTCATAATATTTCTATGCATGATCTTTCCAAACAAAAATAGAATTACTGAATTTCTATATAATGTTACCAGAAATTTGATTTTTTTTTTGTTAGGACACGTAAAACTAAGAACGGTGAGATATTTAAAATTTTTTAGACATGTCCAATTTGCAATAATGGTTCTTGAAGCTTTAACTTATGTTAGAGCATCAGTCTTTGAGATTGAAAACTGTTCATTTGGAAACTATACTTGGCTTGAAAATTTAGAAAAAAGAGTTGTTAACTGTACAAACTGTAATCTCTACATAGCATATACCAATACACATGAACATACACAGTGCACCGGAAAATTCCTACTTAGTGATTTTGTTAATGAGGAGAGGAAAACTGCACAATTTAGTATGTTTTAGGTCCTCCACTAATTCTTCTCACTGATAAAGTCGAAGGATATTGTCCTTGAGCCACATAGAAATTCGTTAAATGCTCAACAACGCTGACCTTTTTACGAGTAGCAGTTTGTTTATGTAAATATTTGAAGTTGTTCTGCACATCTGTTGGTTCTATAGATGGCAATTTGATGATTAACAGGTGTATTAACTAACCTAATTTTTCTTTTTGAGTTGTTAGCCACCATATTCACTTAATTGGCAAGGTATAAATTTTTAAGTTGGGAATCTCTCTTGAGCTCACTACAGAAAAAAAGAATGATAGGATTAAGAAGACTTGTGATTGCATTTAATGTGATATGTAGCGGTCATTATTTGATATAATTACCCACGAGTGTGCCTTTTATGTCATACCAGCTTATTTTTCTTTTCTTTACTAAAATGTTATTTAAGCAGTAGAATTGATGTAATTTTGCTCGAATTTGTAGCTATCGTATCAGGAGGGAAGGGTACTGCACAAGACAAAATCAAGACCCTGAGAGAAGCTGGCGTTACTGTGGTTGAGTCGCCTGCCAAAATAGGCACTGCAATGCTTGAAGTCTTCAAACAGAGGGGTCTTGTTTGAGCCACTCAAATTATATTTGATCGTCTTTTTTTTAAATTGTTGTTCCCTTTTTTCCCGGGACAAGAATTAGCTGTTTCCTTTTGTTACAGCTTTTATAATAACAAAAAGCATTATATTTCTGGAGCTGTTTGTATATCAAAGCTGCCGGAAGAATATATTGTCGTAAACCCGAGGGTTCGCACATACCTTGTTTACTTGATAGAAGGATATTGTGAAGATAATCGTTTCCAGTTTCCACTACCTTTGTATCTTTATAAATGGAAGCTTTAGATTATTCTTCTTGTCTTATAAAATCGGGATTTGTTTATCTTGTCAAACAAACAGAGCCTTACATATAATATTATACAATTCAATAAATCCGATATGAATGTACTCAGCAACACGTTTAACCCGCAAGAAGATGCTTGTTATAAATGCAGAAAACACATACAATCTCGGAGCATCATATCCATAAAATCGCAATCTTCCATGCAAATTAGTTTTCGTCGTCGTAATAATACTCGGATACATGCACGTAAAAAGACGGACTTGCCACAAAAAGTTTGTAGCTTTATCACGATCTTCATCTATTCCAAAAACACTTGAATTCTATCCCCCATTGTATCATTAAAATCAATTAACTGCTTCCCTCCCGCTTCAAGATCTGCATCATCCAACAAAGCCTTGATGTTTACACCCACCAATGCCGGCACTATATTCGTCACCCCTTCAAGAAAACCAGCAGGTATCCGTATATCGAGTTTTTCAAATCCATCTCGTCCAGTTATTTTCACTCTCAGCTTTCGCGACCAAATGCCGGAGAAAGAACTGTTTCGACCATATTCACCGTTGTATACTTCGGGGGTCACTACCTCCACCACAGTATCTTGTGCACTTGGGGCAGTATCTTTAGTGTCTTCTTGTTTACCATAAGGCTCTGTTTGGTTCAAGCAAAATGAAAAGTAAGAAGGTGGAAATATTAGGTAAATTGATTTTCATGTTTGGTAGCAAGGTAAATTGTTAGGCAAAGTAAGTTAGAGGAAAACGTGCGAAAAAACATTACACTAAAACCGGAAAAATGAGTTTTCTTCCAAAAAAAAATAATAATAAAAAAAGCGAGGAAAATCCAAAGTAAAATTTGAGGATCGTTTCGACCTCTTTCCTTCTCCCTCTTATGTTCTCCATCTACTTTCTCACCTATCTTTCCATCTCCCTATTCTCTCTCAAGTTCTAAAAAAAATCATTTTAACCCTTCATTGAAAGATAAAAAAAATACGAAATAATTCATTTTGACATTTTACTCGGTTTTCTTAACTACCAATCAAAACTAAGGAAAGCGATTTTCCACAAATCATTTGTATCACTTTTTTCCCATCGAACAAAACATACACCAAATTTTCAAATTCTTTGTTTTCATTTGCTTTTGGCGTTTTTTATTTTCATCAGTTTCAAAATCCACGAACCAAACAGAGCCCTACGAGTTACTTGCAGGGTAATAACCTCTTTCAAGACGAGGTTGACTGGTTTTCGTGCTGTACTGCATCTCCTCTTCATAGTAAGCATTAAAACCCAAGATCTCCTTCATTTCATCAAAAGACGGCATGCTTCCAGGAGAAGGCATTCGACCTCCTTTAATAGCCAACAAAGCATCCTGCATTGCACGAATGGACACTCCCAACAAAGAAAGCGGATACGCCACGATCTTGTATCCAACATCATCCAGCTCAATAGGACTGAGTATGGGGGTCCTCCCCCCTCCTTCAAGCATATTCGCCATTTTCGGAACCAGCGGACACACTCGACAAAATGCCTCCATCTCTTCTTTCGAAGCAAGAGCATCGATAAACAAAACATCAGCTCCCGCTTCGGCAAAAGCGCGCGCCCTCCAAAGCGACTCCTCTAAAGACACAGCCTGTCGAGAATCGGTTCTTGCAACAATCACAATGTCCGAACCACTCTCTTTACGAGCATCGACAGCTGCTTTGATTCTCATAATCGCTTCCTCTCTCGACACGACTTTCCGCCCTTGCGTATGACCACATGCTTTCGGGGATACCTGATAAATTTTTTTTTTCTTCTTACAGTTAAACCTCTATAAATTAATACAGTTGGGACCATCAAAATTCTATTAATTTAACGAAATATTAACTTATCGATAAATTAATAATTATTAATTTATACATTAATCAATAACTTATTAATTTATGAAATTATTTTTATTATTATTTTCAACAATTACATATTTTTAATTTTTTTTTTACGTATACATTATTTATTGTACCATTAGTCCAATGTACTACAGGGTCCGTTTCTGAACAGAAGTTCTTAAAGCACCAATGATATTGAACAATTTTTTTGTTGAGTTAAGACTTATGAGAAAATTATACTAGAAGTTCTAAACATGTTAAAAAAAAAAGTGAGGGACGAGATTGATGGGGTGATGTGAACTTCAACACGAAACACACGACGATTAAATCATGTTTTATTAAACCTTCATCGATCTATAAAATATGCACTGTACTATGTAATTTAAGAATTATTTTTATGCATTATTAATTTATATGTTTATGGGACTTCTTAAAATTTTCGAATGTGTATTATCTTATAAATTTAGCAGGTTATTAATTTATCGAGGTGCTGCTGTAATTAATAAATATTGATCCTACTTCCTACTATGATTCTTTAATTTGATGACTACAATAACAAGTTTCAATGAAATAAAAAAAAACCTGATCTTCAAGAATGATTCCGGCGAAGCCAGCTTTAATATAACCTCTGACAGTTCTCTTGACATTCATCGGATTACCGTAACCGTTATCTCCATCGCCGATGATCGGAATGGAGACAGATTCCGTGATTTGCCGGCCTTGATCCACCATCTCTCCGTAGGATATAAATCCAGTGTCCGGCAAACCCAATCGGGCGGCTGATATTCCGAATCCAGTGGTGAAGCAGAAATCAAAACCAGCTCTTTCAACAAGCTTCGCGCTGAGGGCGTCGAAGCAAGCCGGGCCGAGGTGAATTCCGGGAGAGGCCAGAAGCTGCCGGAGGGAATTCGCCGGAGGAGTGACGGAGGCAGCATCTCCGGCGGCGGAATGAATTGCGGGTAATCGGATTCGGTAGCTGCTAAGTGAGAAAGAATCGGAGGTTTTACCAAATTGAGGATGAATCAAAATCTTGATAGTAGGTTTGAGGGTTTCGAGATGAAATGCATATGAAATTGGGTGGTGCAGAGTTGTGTTGTGTGAGTGTGAACGACAAGAAAAGGGGAAAGTGATGCTCATACTCATATCTGATGATGCAGTAGCTCTGCTTTTTCAAAACATACGATTCGTTTGCATTTGCTTTGATAAATTGCCGACGAAAAAAGGCCTTTATTTTAATTTTGGGTAAATTACACAACACACCCCTGAGGTATGCTTAAATAACTTTAAGGTCCCCGTGTTATCGATAATTACATTCACCCCCTAAAACATAGTTAGAAGCTCTAATGGGATAATGCATTGAATATGTTATTCCGATAGAATTCTAATGGACTATTAGTTTCAGCAAGTGGTGGAGACAACAAATAATTATGGGTGATTTTAGAAATCTTGGGAGAATCATATCACCCCCTAACTCTATGTTGTCTCCACCACTAGCTAAAAGTAATAGTTCGTTAGAACCCTGAGTTTCTAACTATGTTTTAGGGGGGTGAGCGTAATTATCCATACTACAGGGACCTTAAAGTTATTTAAGCATACCTTAGGGGTGTGGCTGTAATTTACCCTTTAATTTTTGTTTGTTTTCATCTTCTATTATTTATTTTTTCCTTTTCCTGCGATACCTTTTTTGATATTATTATTTTCTGAAATTTCTCTGTTAATAAAGCCAATATATATATTTTTTTAATTACATATTTTCATTGCGTCATCGGTCAATGCATGTGCTATTACGTTGAGATGAAGGTTGCAATTTGCTTCTACCGATCATATCGTCATATAATAACTTGTTCTCAAATTCAGATAAGGGGGCGGATATGTGCAAATCTATAAATTTCTTTGTTCAAGACCTACAATAGGGTTGGTAAACGAGTCAAGCCGACTCGTGAGCTCGATGAGCGGTTCAAAAAATGCTCGAACCCGGACTCGAGTTTTTTGAGCTCGAGCTTTTTGACGAGCCGAACTCGAGCCTTTTTAGTTGTTCATGAGCTCACAAGCCTTATTTATTATTTTGATTTTTTTTATATATTATTTTTTATTTAAATAAGGTATGATAATATAAAATATTATAGATAAATAAAAATAAGATATAAATATTAAAAATATATATATAATTACAATTTATTGTTTTATTTTGTACTTTTTAAAAACTTTTTTTAAATATTTTTTAATAATAATAAAAAAATAATTAAAAAATATTAAAAAAAACAAGAAAATGAGCTTGGGCTCGAGCTCGAGCTCGACAAAATGGCACAAGCTCGAGCTCGAGCAAAAAAAGAACGAACTCGACGAGCTCAAGCTCGAGCTCGAGTTCAACAAAATAAACTCAAGCTCGAGCTCGAGCTTGCCGAAAGAGGCGAGCTCGGCTCGTTCAAACCCCTAACTTACAACATGAAAATACTAATTTATACCTATAATGAAATTCATGACCAAACTAAAAACAAAAAAACATAAAAAGAAAAAAAAAAACATTTTCTTTGTGCAAGACCAAATAAAATACATAAACCTCCAAATCCATGCATTATTTCACAATTTAAAAATCTCCTTCTTCTTCTTATTCTTCTTCATAAAGCCACCAAGAACCCTACACACCAAATATTCACAATGGAGTCAAAAAACAAGTAGATGGTGGAGAACGCAATGGTGCATATTTTAACCGTTTATTTTAGCTTATGTGCCGTTTTTTTTTGTTGGGAAAAAAAAGTCGCAAATACCAGAAATCGGTATTTACAGACCGAATTTTGTTACAAAAATCGGTAACCACATGCCGACTTTTGTAACAAAAATCGAAATACCTATTTTTTCGACAACATCGGCGCTGGCATGCTAATTTATAAGAAACAATGTAGATGAGGGCATATTCGTCCTCTTGATCTTATATAAGAAAATTAGGTTAATTTATGGTCTTGAACTGATGAATCATTTTACGTGTGTTTGAATAAAGAAAAAAATGGGCTTGCATATATCCGCTGCCTTCAAATATAACTCTTTATGTGTATTATAGATGGTGGCACGAGCTCTACCAGATATGGCAGAGATTCAACACACTCATTAATTATGGTGTAGACCTATCTTATCTTGTTATTTTTGTGAAGAAAAATACTATTATGGTAGACAAATCATTTTTCCCTAGTTCAAATCCTACCTAAAAGTGAATTTATAAAGTTGTACAAAGATAATGGACGGATAAAGTCACTAGTCTTATGACATGATGACTGTTGTTCCCGATACATAAAACGGGTAGTGAATTTAGTAAATTGGTTGAACAAATTAATTAGTGAAAATACGGAAAGATTAGCCGAGGCGAGTTGACTCTGTCCTTAAGACGAAATTTCCCCGCAACGGTGCTAACGGATTAAATGGAAATCGTCTCCCAAGATACAACGGCTAAACTTGGAATAGGAGCACTCCAAATCCCAAGTACGACGAACTGTACTTTGTGTAGAACTTTTCGAGAGAATCTGTGAAGGGTAGGCTTAATATGTAGTAGGCTTGTTTTTTGATTGAAGTGAGGAATTTTGGGAAAGTTATGGTCTATTTATAAGGTTCGAAAAGTAGTGTCCTTTGGAGCAAAAAGGTACCTTTTGTTTGAATGGTTGCACCATTTCGAGTTGAGCCAATTGGGAGTGGTTGCACCATTTCGAGTTGAGCCGAATGGTTTGCATTGGTTCGGCCGCACCAATTCAGACCAGTCAGACCAATCGAGATGGGCTTCGAGTAATAAGGGCCCAATGGGTTACAAGCCCATGACCTAATGTTTTTGAGCCATCCCAATATCTCGATATATATACAGCTCAGTACTTCTCTACT